ATGCAGTACATACTCTATAAACATGCAGTACACACTCTATAAACATGCAGTACACACTCAACGTTTGATAAATTGAAAAGTTTATTCATTTTGACCAACCAGTAATGTTTTTTTGCATATTCAGATCAGCTGATGCTAATTTGCATGTTGGTTATCACCAGTCACTGTATAATAGTGTGTGCGCCCTCAGGGACAGGGAAGAGAAGAACATGTTGGCGTGTCTTAGCCAGGCTAGACATGAAGTTCTTAAAAGCTTGAGTGATGCCAGCTTGGAAAGTATTCGTAATATCTACACTTCTTTGGGTCAATTACAGTCACTGGTGGAATTAGAAAACTTTGCAGATATGATGTTACAGTAAGATTTTTTTTTTAATTTATTAATTACAGTAATCCTCCATAGTACCGGTAATTTAAAAGCAGTTGTAATTGGTAGACTCACGTTCAAATTCTAGTTGAGTTGATTCCAAACTGTGATTGAGTGTGTCAGAAAACACTAACAGAAGTTACTTTGAAGTGGCTTTGGTTAAGATGCACAGGTGGTTGATGATGGATGGCATATTAAAATGTCATAGTCTCAAACATGGAATATGTCAGGACTGAATATAAAATAAAAAACGAGAGAGACAAGTGAAATTCAATACCAGGAACTTTAACCTGACAAAAATGTAAGCTATTTATCAATCCACTGACTGCTATGAAAGATGTATTGTTTCATTGAAACATTGGATCTTCTCATTTCTCGAGTCATTGACCTTGTTTTTGATTTTACTATGCATTGAATAGACAAGCTTTATGAAGAAAAAGTAAAAAATGATCCTTTAGAATATTAAAAACATTGTGATTTGTTTGTAACTGAAGGGGGGGGGGTGTATGGATGGGGTTTGTAAGGAACGTTTTCTACAAATAAAAATAATGAGTCACCAACCTATTCATGTTTCACTAGTGTGTATCATACTAATACAATATTATCACTATGCCTTCCTGTTTATTGCTAGACTTATTCAAAAGTTGAATTACATAATTGACATTTTCTGAAATTTGCAGTCACATTAACAAATTGGAGATGCTTCAGCTGAAATGGAATTCACAGTCTGCAATAGTCGCACAGAATGATTATGAGTTCATTGAACCCATCCTGGCATTAAGAAACGTATTACTGCATGTTTTAATGGATAAAAACAAACAGGGTTCAAGCACCCACATTGGTGGTAAGGTCCTGGATGGTCTTGTCAAACATCTGGAATACACCGCTGCTATTGCAAGGAAAGCTAATAGGCCGCAGGTTAGTATGTATTTCTTCTGTATCCATGCCTCTGATTATCGTTATTAACCAAGAATTTATGCTCGCTTCAAAGATTACTTGTATTCTACTTTACATGACAAGTCACTTGATAATGGTCAGATTTCAATAAAACTTGATACACAGGTGCTCTGAAACAAAGTGTTGACCTAATTAGTTTTGGGTAAAAGTCTGTGCATAATAATTAGTAAATTTACTGCTTTACCACTGATATCTCAAGTACTAATCATCACATTGTTATGATGTTGTAGGACAATGTTCAGACCAGATCAGTTGGAGTTAAAATTTGTTTATATTAATTATCTAATTTGCATATAATAACTAAATTTGTCAGCTTTTTCAAGTACTAATCATCATATTTCAATTGAAACAGGGGATGTAGATGTCCTAGATGCTAAATTAAATTAAATTCTGTGAACATGTGAAGTAACAATTGAACTTGCTGTTACCCAGCCAAGTTCATGAACTTAAACCCAGTGAACTTAATTGCTCAAAACATCAAAATAGTGATATTATGTCAGAAAAAATAAATGGTTTCACAGTACCAAGCAATTCAGAGACTTGGGGATATATATACCAACACATAGACTAACATTCACTCAGTTATATAGATGCATTTTTGGCAAAATCTCCACTTGATTTTAAAAGCTGTTCGTGTTTGTTGACATAATACTGTGAAGAAACCCGGCCTCATTGTGATCTTAAAGTGATTAATCATGTTAAAATATTCATGCTTGAGTTTGACATAAAGTCTGATGTCACCAATCTAGGTGTGACGATTTCCCAGCACCATGAATATAATCCAACGCATTGGCTCTTATAACTACAGGCAGCAGAGAGGGCCATCTTTACATTGAAACAGCTGGACCAGCAGAGTTGCGCATCAGACAGTAGCGTATCTTGGTCTTGGCAACTAGAAGAGTCGAAAATGTACTGGGACAGAGGAGAGCAGAATACAGCGCTGCATATTATGATGCAGCTTGCTGAAAAATTGAGCAAAGTAAGTGAGAAGAAATACAACAGTAACATGTAGATTATGTAGAAATACAACAGTAACATGTAGATTATGTAGACTAACTAATTGCATGACATGGCAGTATGTCAGATCACATTGTGTTATGTCAGGTCACATGGCAGTATATCAGGTCACATGGCAGTATATCAGGTCACATGGCAGTATATCAGGTCACATGGTGTTACGTCAGGTCACATGACAGTATATCAGGTCACATTGTGTTATGTCAGGTCAAATGGCAGTATATCAGGTCACATGGCAGTATATCAGGTCACATGGTGTTATGTCAGGTCAAATGTCAGTATATCAGGTCTCATGGTGTTATGTTAGGTCAAATGGCAGTATATCAGGTCACATGGCAGTATATCATGTCACAAGGTGTTATGTCAGGTCACATGGCAGTATATCAGGTCACATGGTGTTATGTCAGGTCACATGGCAGTATATCTTGTCACATGGTGTTATGTCAGGTCACATGGCAGTATATCAGATAACATGGTGTTATGTCAGGTCACATAGCAGTATATCAGGTCGCATGGCAGTATATCAGGTCACATGGTGTTATGTCAGGTCAAATGGCAGTATATCAGGTCAAATGGCAGTATATCAGGTCACATGGCATTATGTCAGATTACAAGGTATAATGTCAGGTCACATGGCAGTATATCAGGTCACATGGCGGTATATCAGGTCACATGGCAGTATATCAGGTCACATGGTGTTATGTCAGGTCAAATGGCAGTATATCAGGTCAAATGGCAGTATATCAGGTCACATGGCATTATGTCAGATTACAAGGTATTATGTCAGGTCACATGGCAGTATATCAGGTCACATGGCAGTATATCAGGTCACATGGTGTTATGTCAGGTCAAATGGCATTATGTCAGATTACAAGGTATTATGTCAGGTCACATGTCAGTATATCAGGTCACATGGCATTATGTCAGATTACAAGGTATTATGTCACGTCACATGTCAGTATATCAGGTCAAATGGCATATCAACTCACATAGTGATATGTCAATGCATTCTAGTATTTGGTTCAGTACGAAATTCATAAATATGAATTTTTAGATTAAAAGTAACTCAGACAGCGAATGTTCAAACTTCATGTTAAATTTAACAATATATATTAACCCAAAAAAAAACAGATTTGTTTCTGGTGTTTACACATGTCAGTTTAAAATGAGCCAACACAATTTTTCTTGGTGTATTTGAAGAAAAAACAAAAGGAAACAGTAAAACATCACTTGGTGGCGCACAACTCTATCATGCATGTCCAGAATGTGTATTAAATTATTCGCAATGATGTATACAAGTTTGCTATCGAAATATTACTTTCTTTAAATTGTCAATATAATTTAAAGATTCATAGAACTGCGAATTGAGGGAAAAAAAAACACACATCAGCCACAAACAATTAGTTTTTTTTTATTGGCCTTACATCAGTTGTACACATTGTAAAGGGTTGTTTTTGAGCAAGAAGATTCCTGTCTAAATACTGAACAACTGTCTAATATCGTTTCTTGGTTTATAATCAATTTCTTGTCTTTCACTTCACAGATTCATACCAGGAACAGATCATTAACTAACGTTTATGCCCAGGTACTTGGTATCCATGGCAACTGGTTAGCGGAAACTCATTCTGAGAGTCCTAACAATATCATGACAGGCTTCTTAGAAAAGGTTTTTGTCATTTTGTTTCATATTTTTTTATTGTCAATGTTCATTGATGTATAGCACCTCATAGTTATGGCATATGGATATGTTTTATTTAAACCGCCATCTCTGAAATGGATATAATTTGGACAATGTCTATACACTATCACAACATTGGTATTAAAGAATACTACTTTCAGTTTCAATATACTTGAGGGATGAACCAAAAACATTTCTCTAAACGGGGAAGTTTTCCAACTAGCTAAACCATGCTAAATAACAACAGCAAATAAAACAGAAAATCTGACAAGACATGGTTAGTACATAATGCATCATGTTTTCTGTTAGCATTTGCAGTTCACATGTAATAATGTCAGGAAAAATAACAGTGACAATCAATTTTAGAAATATTCGCCTGGCACAAAAATATTTACTGTCACCGCCATATTGTTCCACACACAGTAACAGCAGTATTGCCAGCTAAATTAGAGACTGGTTATTTATGCCTGTCTCGAGATCGTTACATGATTAGAGCTGATTTGTTCAAACCACTTTTATGAGGGTGTGTCATTTGGCTGAATGCACGCATTTACAAGTGTTATGACACGCACCAGACACACCAAGTGACTGTATCCTGACATTTCATACTGCGTCAGTATATACATTTTGTTTTTAATAACTTTGTCATTTATTATATGGAAATTTATACGATTGAATGAAATAAATTGAAAGGCAATTGCATATTGATCTTCTATTTTTATTCAATGTGTCTAAGTCCCCCACAGTTAGTTTGGCATTTCTTGTTGAGTTTGGTTTGACCCAACTAATCTCTAGGCACGCATAGCAAACCAGTCAGCAACTGAACTGGCAATGTTGCTGTTTTGGTGTTCGGAACAATATGGGGGTGACTATAAGTAAACAGTAATGAATCTGCAGTAATTATTGCCTTTTTAGCACCCTTAACAAAATATTAAATCCTAATCAGGTTCTGTGTGTCATTATTCAGGCGGTTAATTTATATGAAGCTATCGGAGACACCAGTCGTGAAGCAATGGACGCTTACCTAGCAGTCGGCAGATTTGCCGACTCCCAGTATCAAACAATTGTCAATTACATGAAATCAACTACATTTGAATTAAAACAAGCTTTACTGAAGAAATCCAACGCTGAATTGAGTAAGCTGGAAACTACAGAAAATCAGAGAAAGTATGTATAATTTTAAATATATATATTCACATGCATACAAGATGGCCGAATGGCAGCCATTTTTGTGCTAAAAATTTTCAAAATCAAGCATTTCTGCCATCCCGGAACCAGATCTTGGTCGTGTATGGACGGATTTTGTTCAAACTTGATACATACATCAGAAATTTAAGGGTTCTTTATGCATGTTATGTTTTTCAGCTCGGATTCAATATGGCCAACTGGTGGTTTTCATTTTGTTTTAATGAATGCTGTTCCAGAGCCATATCTCTGACATACCTTGACCAATCAAGTTCAAACTGATGTCATTTTAATGTTGAAAATTCCTCAAAATCAAGCAATTCTGCTTTTCCATCTGCCTGTCCTGTAAGAATGAATACTATGCACTGCTTAAGGTGTTCTCCATACACTGCATTAATGCACTCTTTGCTGTATTTTTATAATAATCACATTTAAATATTTTTTCAGTAAGTATGTAATGACTTTGATGAAGCAGCAACAATTTGACCAACAGGAAATGGACAATTTAAAGTTTGATAGGGCTACATACTTGGACACTGCTGTAAACAACTATCTGCGCTGTTTGCATCTAGGGGACTATCATGACATGAGAGTCTTTCGACTCTGCTCACTGTGGTTTGAAAATTCACATGATAAGGAAGTGAATGAGATATTGAAAGTAAGTGTGAGAATGAAAGTATTGTATAAATTTCAGATCTAAAGAAGAATCTTCTATTGACAATAGAAGCCATTTGGTAATGTCCATTCCCGTATTCGCTCTATGGTCAAAATAATTAATTTTAATGATTAATACATCGCCCAATGTAATTTTTGGTTTAATGCACTTCTATTCAAGATGTGCTTCAAATAGGACAAATACCATACCCGTGTGTTTTCTTTGATTATTGGCCAATTTTAATTATGCTATATACAGTGCATGTTGTAAAAAAAAATATTTTCTCTGTTAAAAACTTTGATGGTGTGTGACAATCTTTCTAGTGGTATTATGGTAACCCGATGTCCTGTTCACTGACAATAATCAATTCTAAGATACCGATACAATCAAATAAACACTTAGTCTGCTGAAAATAGGAAATAAGTAGCACATCAGAAGGGTTGAATGAACTTGGATAATAAATCTAACGATTCTATATTTATTTCACAATCAAGTGAAATGAAATGTAATGACTGCATATATTTGTAACAGAAATGAAAACATGGCAAGGCGATATATTGTAAACCGCTTTAACTTTGTGGGAAAAAAATTTGCCAAATCAGTGAAAATTGCAAAAATTAGTCGATTCATAGTAGTCATCAACAATCAGAATTTGAATTTTTTTTTTCTGTTTTGTTATTTAGGATGAATTACCAAAAGTGCAGAGTAGAAAGTTTTTACCGTTAATGTACCAGTTAGCAGCAAGGATGACAACTAAGACACAACAGAATGAATATTTCCATTCTACTCTAAATCAGGTGAGTAATTCAAGGCGCTTATTTGAACTATTATAGTGTAACATTAGACCATGTTCTGTTCACTGTGAAATTGAACGTAAAATCTGCGCAACAAACTTTATCATAGCTCAGTGGCATCAAAATATTGCATGATATTCGACAAACGTGAAAGTATTTTTTGTGTATTTACATGCTTAATAGTGCACTATACACCTTTGATAATGTTCAGTTTCACTAGAATAAGTGTATTTAAATGTCATATTCTCATCTGAAAGCTTGGCATTTTGACATCATTTGATATTTGCAGCAGATGTTCTGTTCATGCATTACATGTGATGTCATGGTGAATAGAGAATCATCTACTACACGCATGGGAAACAGATCAAATAAGAACAATGCAGGCAGACTCCTAATAAATTTGTACTCAACCTCAATTTGTTTAATCTCAAGAATATTTAATGCCGAAACAAAGAGCCTTGAAAACTATGATATTCTTGTGGGCGAAGCTACCTCAGAGAACATTCTATGTTTCCTGCAGAGACGACGACAACAAATTTTGCATGGGGGGGGGGTGTAGAATCTGCTCACCAACCTTGCACCGAAGGTGCGACCTTACTAGGGGGCATACTCCCCCTTAACAATTTTTGAATCTAGACCCTATGAAATGCTATTTCCTGGGTGAACGTCCCCTCTGCCCTTTTGTGCCGCCGTGCCACTGTCCTGGTCGCACACCACTGTACATGTATTTCTACCGGCTCTGCACAACCTGCTGTGTAACACTGGTCAAAGAGCTGGTGAAAACAGCTAACAAAGTACAAAACAGCGAAAACTCAACTTTGAGGCAATCCTGAACAGCCAAATTTATATATGTTTCACATGTTTAGGGTAGTCTCAACAACTAGTCTGAACTACAGCTTTCAGCTTTTGTTTTCTTCAGTGATGGTTGCCAGGCAGTAAAAAGAAAATGCTGTCCTCCCCAAGAATAGTTAATTAACTACATTATTCTACATCAATGATGAATGACGTGTAAGTTGATGAGAATGTCTTTAATAACATTGGCAGTGTATTTTGAATATTTGTTGTTGTCTTTCATGATAGCTGATTGAGAGGACGACTGTTGACCATCCACACCATACTCTGTTTGTAATACTGGCACTGAGTAATGCAAATAAAGATGAAATCCTGACAGCACCAAAGAAAAAACGTAGCTCACTATCAATAAATAAGACTGCTACTAGCACAACAAATGGGGTAATTATCATATTTAGTCAAATCTTAATGTTATCAATTACAAGTAGCAATTATACGTGAAAATAAACGTTAAATCAAGACGAACATAGATAATAATGCAATAGTGGGCGTCAAACATAGCATGGAATTTGGCAAACGTGAAAATATTTTTAGAATATTTTCACATTGAATAATTGTAATGATGATAGTAAATTTTGATGACAAAAGGGTATTTCAATGCCATGTTTCTCTCTGAAGATCGGTATTTAAACATTGAACATTTTAAGTTCAAAATCATATGATTCAATTTTAGCTTTCAGTGCATGCCTCGCACACTAACTTAAAAAAAAAATTTATTGAAAAAAAAATTGCATAAATATGTTTGGGGTGAATAAGCTTGTATCTGGATGATGTAGCAATCTGGATATTCATAAAATAACCAGCTGATTTAAAAAATTATGTGTATTTATACATATATACATGTTTACGAGCTAAACACTACTTGTTGTGGTTGTAGGAACGAATGCAAGCAGCAAAGAATATGATTGAAAGGCTACGCAATGAACGTGGAGCAATCATACAAGCAATGGAAAAACTGTGTGATGCATATATAAGTGTGGCTTACCATGATGTTGGACAACAAAAGAGGGACACTAGTAAGTAATGCCATTCTTTCGTCACATTCAAGTCTCGTGGCATTCTCATTCTCAACGAGATTTCGGTGTCGGTGAATTATTGTGTTGAGCTAAACATACATTGTATTGATTATTGTATGTCGTGTCCACATCACATTTTTGACTACTTCCCGGAAACCACAGAACTGATTATTTTTGTTATATACTGTATTGTATCGATCATTGTATGCCATGTTCACGTCACATTTTTGACTACTTCCCGGAAACCACAGAACTGATTATTTTTGTTATACATGTATACTGTATTGTATTGATCATTGTATGCCATGTTCACATCCCATTTTTGACTACTTCCCGGAAACCACAGAACTGATTATTTTTGTTATATACTGTATTGTATTGATCATTGTATGCCATGTTCACATCACATTTTTGACTACTTCCCGGAAACCACAGAACTGATTATTTTTGTTTTATACTGTATTGTATTGATCATTGTATGCCATGTTCACATCACATTTTTGACTACTTCCCGGAAACCACAGAACTGATTATTTTTGTTATACACTGTATTGTATTGATCATTGTATGCCATGTTCACATCACATTTTTGACTACTTCCCCAAAACCACAGAACTGATTATTTTTGTTATATACTGTATTGTATTGATCATTGTATGCCATGTTCACAACACATTTTTGACTACTTCCCGGAAACCACAGAACTGATTATTTTTGTTATATACTGTATTGTATTGATCATTGTATGCCATGTTCACATCACATTTTTGACTACTTCCCGGAAACCACAGAACTGATTATTTTTGTTATATACTGTATTGTATTGATCATTGTATGCCATGTTCACATCACATTTTTGACTACTTCCCGGAAACCACAGAACTGATTATTTTTGTTATATACTGTACTTGACCGCATTAGCGCCCAGGCTCGACCCATGCTCGACTACCCCACTTTTGGGACATTTCTATTTTTGGGTTCAAGTTCAGCGAAATGCCCCTAATTTGACTGTATAATTATAAAACTTTGTTTAAATATCCGAATACTGGTCATCGTTTTTATATGATACAACGTGGATATCAACGGAAAGCACAGCAATCATGCATAACTTTCAGATTTGCTTATTTCATCACCATATCGTCATTTATCTAATTTTGGTGAATATTTTTGTCATTTTTGGTAAAAAGTAATATTTTTGACATTTTCAGAACCCATCAATTTACCTTCTCATCTCGTGCTACCCAAGCTAAAGGAGATGAATCTTGTTGCCATGCCAACAGTGGACTTGGCGGTTGATCCTAGTTGTTGTTATGAGAACATTATTTACATCAAAGCCTTTGAATCTACTTTTCGATTGGCGGGTGGTGTAAACCTGCCAAAGATTATCACGTGTATTGCATCTGATGGAAGTAAGAAAAGACAACTAGTCAAGGTGAGCCATTATATAAATATGAAAGCCATATATTATTGTTTTTGCAAAGTATCAAGGGTTCATAAAATGAAGTTTGCAAGTGATGTGATATGTGATGAAATCTCGCGAGAATTGAGTTACATAACTGTGAGACATCACAAATTTGCATGACAAACATACATTTTCTGGAAATACTAAAATTAAATGCAAATG